ATGTAAGCCTAAATAAACACGTTCATTTAAGGGAAATGGCATTAGTCTTTAGTGGGTTTTCTTTCCTGCCTGTCTTTCTTCTCTTTTCTTGTGCTAGCGGTACCCCTTGATCTGCCCACTTCACCTACACAGCATTTGAAGTTTACATACTCTATCGATGAGTGCTGCCTCTAGGTGCAAAAGCCAGGGAGGACAGAATTAAGGAACGTTGAAAATTCTCCATAAACTTCTCATTCACCAACATGTTTTGGATAAGGAGAACATGACTTACACATTGGTGGGCCCCTGGACATCTTTTAAGATCATTGCCATCACCTGACTCAGAAACTGAGCACAGTGAGGTAGCCAAGAGAAAATTGGAGAGCTTGACTTATGCCCCTTTATGTCCCATGGTAGTGGTTAATCTCACTAAAACTACAGATGAATAACAAATTTTCAAGGGAAACGACACCCACCAGCTATGCCTTTTAAAGTAATCTATAGAAGGGTTGTGTTTAGACCACACAAAACATACCTGGATGATAAATACGCCTTAGGTGGCTGAAAAAATGGGCAAGGGAAGAACGGAAAATAAAAATTAGACATCACTTGTGGATGTTGCTCTGTGGATGTGGCATGCACAAAATCCATGCGACACAGCTTCCAACACTAAGAAGGGTGAGATGCTCCAAAGCAGACAGGTTTTCTCATCTGCCTCTAATCTACGATGCTCGTGTAAATCTCAGTCAAAAGCTTTCCAAGAGCAGACACTCGCTCTAATATGATGTGCTTCTGATATTGGAGACACGGAAATAAAAAATGCACCAACATGCAATCAATGGCAAGGCACTTTTCCATTTCTCCCCGCTGCACCCTGATCTGGCCACAATGCCACCTGGCATTTAACCCTGCATTCTTCTTGACGATCAGCCAGACTCCTGCCAAGTCTTCAGACAGACGGGGTGTGGGACAGAAGTGTGGCTTATGCATTACTTCATGCAAGCTGCACCACAAACCAAGGTGTCAGCTCAGTTAGCTCACAAATTATTGAGGTGGCAATTAAAATCCGTAATGGATTATGAATACATTTTCCACCAAGAAGTAGTACCAAGGGAAGACTAACTGGAGTGACCAAAGCAGGCAGTTGAACACTCTGATAATGAGACTTGCAAGCTTACAGTTTCCGTGAGGTGACAAAAACTAGACAGGTACCTTATAAAATCCCATCTAGAAGTTACCTGCAAACCTGAATGTAGGAGCATAATGGATTATTTTAAGTCTCCAAATACACTGAATAAATGCCCAAGCCGGAAAAAAAAATATTTTACTGGGAGGATCAGTAACTAAAATAGCAATATTGTGAGGGGTATCTTTATATGCTGCTAGTAGCTTCCCACAGCAATTTGCAAGGTGGTCTTCACAGACCTAGAAGGGTATTCCTTGCTTCAGGATAAAGTTGAGAGTTTTCTAATAAGATAAAAACAATTGCTCTCATTGGACTGACAGCAGATAAATCTGATGTGAATGGGACAAGTCTAAGTTGATATGATATTTTTTTCTTTTTTCTTTTTTTCTTTTTTCTTTTTCATAAGGTCTTGACCTTGCAGTGTTCCTTTCAACGTTTGGAAACAGGCTGCTGTCGACACCCGTTTTGAGAGAAGCACACAACAGCACAAGGAAGGCTCTGAGCTTAGCATGCTTCATCCTTTAGTCCTAACTGAGCTTAGCATGCTTCATGCCTCAGTCCTAACTTTCCCCTTCTTTTCAGGACACAACCAGGCTTTTGTTTTTATTTATTTTTTAATATGTATTTTTCAAGTCTTCTATTTCCTTAAATGAAATTTTACAGTTCAGCCACTGGAAAGTATGACAGGCAGCCTCATCATGAAACAATCACAATAGGAATTAAGAAGAACATAGGTAGCAAGTAAAGAAACAGACAGCTGTGCCAAGGATAAAGTATCAGATATGGTTATTTCTCCTTCAGCAGCAGGCGAGTCACACCACAATCTAAAGCAAGTGTTTTACATGTTTAAATATCAAGAGAGGGTTGACATTCTCAAATGAAGCCACAGTATGTCATTCTTTAACGCTCGGTCAAACAGAAGGACAATGACTTCTCTAGGACCTCTCAGGAGATGCTGCTGCTCACAGTCCTCAGACCATTTGTGGTGCCTGTAAATTGCTAGACCAAAAGGTTTGTCTCGCAAATTAATACTCCAGGACATGCACTGCCTATTCATCCCCCACCTGAGAATCATCCTTCAGTCTCCACAGTCAGCCCTATGGGAACTTCAGGGAAGCAGGAGAGGGCAGCTCAAGCTTGCTACCTCTGAAATCCCTTTCCATTTACCTCTTGAGCATCCTCAGAGACAATGAAACTATCCCTGCTTCTTAACTATTTAACAACCTTTTATCAACCTGAGACTGTTAAGTCTCCCCCTTCTTACAGAAGGAAACACACTTGTCAAATCGAATATAAATTCTCAGGCTGTTCTTAAAGTTTTGAATATTTCTTGAAGTTTCAAATAGTCTTCATGTTGAGGGAAAAAAAAATCACAGAAGATGGGCAATACGTTACCAGTGGCACTCGAAATATAAATCACTTAAAACTTTAATGGTACCTGAGCTCTGAGCCGTTGCTGCCCACTACACCTAATTTCCCATTCATAAAGACATTAGGAATTCTTTTCAAAGACTAAATGAGTTTGAGTGAAAAACTCTTTGATAGCAGGTGAGCAAATAGAATAAAAATTGAGTCAATAGAAATGACCTAGTTATTCAACAAAACTTGCAAATAACTGTAAAGGCAAAAAAAAAAAAAAAAAAAAAAAAACCCTCATATATGTTAGTACTATTATATGGTCACTCTTCTCAGAATTTTAATACCCAGTACCATACCCATCCACAGGATCTACTCTGTATGAGTGACAATGGGTAAATGCAGTGTAAACAAACTGTCAAGATTTTTCTGGGATTTTTGGTAAGTATTGCCAATTTCAACCTCTGGGCAAATTACTAAAAATGTTATTATTGTATGACATTTTTCAAAATTACTTTAACTACTACTGTTTACATATAGGATGCATATAGGAACAAACTATTTGATTATCACTGGCTTATTTAATTATCTAGCTAAAAATGTATGCCTCTGGATAATGAAAAAAAGCATTAAAAAAATCTCACTAGAAGGGAAAACAAAACAATGTTAGAAGATTTGAGCATTAGGAAGTTAAAGGGAAAAGTTTGGCTTAAAAAGAGATAATTGAAAAAAAAATACAAATAAAGTTCCCAGCAGGCAGCTTGCCTATAAGAGAAATAGGCTACAGCCTGTTAATATGTAACCACCTCTTTATAAAAACAATGTGTTAACAGGTTACAAATCAGTCAGAGTTTTATTTGCAAAGATAAAGTATAATTAGAATTAAGGAAAATTATCATTGGGGTGTTCATCTGCACATGCTGCAAAACTTACTCTGTTCAATTAACAAATCGCCACGTTAGGCAATAATGTGCTCTAATGTGAACAATTTCAGTATCCACAGAGAAACAAACAAGGCCATGTTTGCAAAGGGAAGCTAACTGGCTAAAAGAGTTAATAAGTGAAACTTTGAAAAAAAAATAATTCAAAACTATTCCCATCGATCCACCTTCTTAATTAAGAGGAGGGCGAGATGGGAAAGGGAGGGATTAAAGTGTCCACCCTATATTCACTTTCTTCCCGGGTTATACAGTAGCTTGTCTGAGATGTGACCACATCCTTAGGGTTATTTTCTTCTCCACACTTTTCCTCTCCCGTGGCTTCAGTTCTAGAATGTTTTAATCTTTGTCCTTTCCTTTTTCGTCTTTTCATCTCAAATTCAGGCGTTTGAGTGATAAACAGCTTGACTTAGCATATTTTTAACCAGCTGGTCTAGCACCTAGCTTGCATTGCATAGTGAGATACAACAAATGTTTATACAGAAGGTATAGCTTGCATGAAAATGAAAAAAGCCTGGGGATCTTGCATCCTGGCTTTTTTTAGCTTTTTTATTTTTTTTTTTTTAATTCACCATACAGAATATGAAGTTTGAGTTCTTTTTAATGGCAAACAAAAATCTATTTATAGTTCAAAAAAAAAAAAACTTAGACTAGGATACGAACTCAAAGTTAAAATTTATAATGTGTAATTACAGGGACACGAGGAGGGCTAAAATTCTTTAGAAGCCCCCACATTACTTGCAGCAGCATCAGATGGAGGGGAACTGCACATACCTCTCTGAATAGGAACAACTAATTACAAATACACTCAGCTCAGCAGAAAGTGCAGTTTATCAAAACCCAGTTAAGACAGCGAGTACAAAAGTGGCCACGACACTTAAAAGGAGGGTGTCTTGTCTGTCCCCTTCCTCTTCTCGTCAGACACGTCGATAATCATCTACTAATATTGACCTGTGGTGTTAAATTTTCTTTGGGGGGGGGGGGACGCACACAACAACAACAACAGCCCGGCTCTCCCATATCAACAAAAGGTCCTGCTTTCCCAAGCAGTTTCCAAAGTTTAACAGAGGGATCAAACAGGAATTTAACAGCCTCCGCTTTAACCGCCACCGAAGCCTTCTGTCACTTCAGAAATTACAGGAGACAGAGATCCTGAATATGCGAGCAGTCTACAAAAGGTGTGTGTGTGGGGGGGATCAATGAAGGCAGAAAGTAGGAGACTAAGGAAGGGAAAGAGAGCAGCAGGGAATGGGGGGGGTAGAGAAGAGAGAGATGCTTAATGTTCATTTAATTTCCTGCCTGTGATCCGACGCAACCTAAAAACATTAGCAGTAAGCTCGGAGGAGACTTTGCAAATCAGTTCAATTTGGTCCGGGCGACCACAACAGAGATCAGCTCCCAAGGCTGCAGAGACCCTCGCTCATAGCTGCTCTACCCCACGCAATCTGGGGGAGGCATCTTCCCGTTGCATCCAGACTACTGTGAAACGGAAGAGTTTGCACTTCAGTATATTAGGGGGAGAAAAACCAAGCAGTACTCACCTCTCAAACTCCTGAGGTAAATCAGGGTCAGTAAGCATGCTGGAAAAGCACGATTTCCCTTTGTCACAGTAGCCACCTATGATCGGCTCCAACTGAACCTGTCAAGTCAGTCCAAACCTAAACCAATGGATTCTCTCTCTCTGCCTCTCTCTCTCTCTCTCTTCTCACTCTCTCCCCTCTCCCTTTCTCCCTCTCCCTCCTCTCTCTCTCTCTCTCTCTCTCTCTCTCTCTCTCTCTCTCTCTCTCTCTCTCTCTCTCTCTCTCTCTCCTAGGACTCCTTGACCATTCTCTTAAAGGGGTAGTACACTTACAGCAGCAGTGGGCTGCTCCCCCTTTGCACAGCCGCACACTCCGGCTGCTGGCAGTAGACAACCTCCGGGTGCCTGTCCCTTCCTCTTAATTCTCTCTCCTGGACATCACTGAATGGTAGAAGTCAACTCGTAACACGTCTCCCATGCTCTCTCCTCTAAATAATAAAAGTCACACCACACACACACACACACACACACACACACACACACAGACACGAACCACTGCCACCACCAGCAGTATCATTGTGCAAAATGCATTTGGGGCTGACTAAAAAAATAACTTTATAATAACAGAACCCCAATCAACTGTGAGCATTAACTAATTAAGCACTAATAGCCACAGCATTTTTACACAAAGAATTGTTATTCCTCACCCCCGCCCAGACTCTCTCCAAGCGCACACGGAAACACACAAGCATGTGTGTGTGTGCGCGCACGCACACACAGACACACTCACTCACACACAACAATCAGGCATTGTTCTGAAGGAAGAAAAGCAACTTTGACAGATTGAAATATAGCAGAGGCCCCTTCAAGGAAACCTGTAAACAGGCTGTCACTCACTCTGTGGGGCTCAGTGCTAGCTCTCCCTTTCCACAAAGTGCTCTGGATGTCCTGGCAACCCAGGCAAAGTTTTGTAGCTCCAAACTCCAGAAACCAGGCGTGGAGGAGAGCAGATACCCACATGCCAAACACAGCATGCACGGGTGCAGGACAGTCCCAAAGCCCAGCCACAAAATGACCCTGACCGGTCCACTGTCCTGCTCCTGAAGGCTGGGGAGCCTAGGACGGACAGAGCAGAGCAGGGTACCCCCCAGCCCTGGGGCTCTTTAATTTCCTCTGCCCAGGCAGTCACAGATAAGCTGGACAAACTCTGGCTCTCCAAATCCTAAGCTGGCTGGCAAGGCGCAGCCTCCATGGCAGTTCCAATTATCTAGATAAAAATCTGGCAGGCAGGGGAGGTAATCAGGTAATGTACCTTTGACATGGAATGGCAGAGGCACCTACACACGCACAGGGTAACCGTGGCTGTCCCCATGCACCGCAGCATCTGGCTAGGGAGTCAGCTCACTCTCGCCAGCACAAGATAGTGTGCTTTCTACACACACACACACACACACAGTCACTCACACACATGCTCTCCACTCCTACTGGGAGGGTTCATTGTGCACAAAAGGCTACATTACAGAGCCCGCCCCAATAAGGGAGAGAGAGGAAAAAAAGCCTCCCATTGTCGAGAGGGCAGGTCAGTTGATTAGATTTTCTGTGGAGAATTCCACGAGGAAATTCCCTTTAAAGCCGAAGTGATTAACTGGGTCTACTCTGGAAATAGGAGAGACAATGGCTCAATAGTCCGCACACCCAATGTCCAGGCTGGCACTGAACTCACTTTAAAAAAAAAAAATAAAAATAAAAGCCAGACTCTCTGTGCTTTTCCACAGCCCCCCCCCCAGCCCTCTCCACTCCTTCCAACTTCCCCTCCCTACCCCTTTTATTTCGCAGCTGGATAACATTAAGGGCCTTTAAAACCACAAGGGTTGACCCCACCACAGTTTGATTAGGGCCCACTTTTTTTTTTTTTCTTCTTCTTCTTCTTCTTTTTTTTTTTTTTTTTTTTTTTGTTTTATCCTGGTGACAGGCAGACAGTAAGTTTACTTTCCAGGCATACACAATGACATGCCATACACATATTTTGAGTGAAAATCATGGAGTGTTTTACTCCTGGTGGCGTATTTATTCTTTATTCTGAGCTAAGAAATTTGGGGACAAAGTTGAAAGTAACTTAATCATGAGAACTATCATTCAGGAGAGACGCAGAAACACACACGCACACACACACACACAATCAAAGAGGAGTATGATTTGAGTGTGTCACTATGGAGTTAAGGCACTAACAAAACCACGGACTTAAGACTCACCCTGAAAGCTGTTAACGGGGATGGGTCAAAATGACTTGGTCCTTATTTTGGCAGTTGGGGAAGGGGAAAAGGATATTACTCATTTTTTTATGCACTCACCTCATTATTTTCTATTACAGCCCCAGCCCACTTCTAAATAGGAAAATGAGAAAGTCGTGGCATTTATTATAAATATCTATTTTTTTAATCCCTTAAGAGACCCAACCTCTAATGCACTCTGATGGATAACGTATATAAAATAGTATTTTCTTCTGTTAATGATGGTCACAGGGACTCTAAGCTTACGAGCGTTTTAAAATGTTTAATCTTTTCTTCTTCTTCTAATTAGTGACTACAGTTTTGCAAGAGGGAATATGAAAGCAAGGGAAAGGGTATGTTACTGGGAATCGAGGGAGTAGGGACACAGAGGAGTCATGGTGGCAGCGTAAAGCTAGAAATACTGATAATGGCCATAAGGCAGGATGCTGTGATCCGCATGGTCCCAGCTGCTGCCTCCCTACAACATCTATATATCTCACCGCTGGCTGCTCTTTGGTGCTCTAACCTTGAAGGTCACCAGTACAGGTATGAAAACGGTTTTCAAAACCAACTCCACTACAAGGAAAAACTTTCCTCGCCTTCTGCCGGTTGGAATAGCCGCGACAGAACACATGCCTCCTTCAGAAGTATACAAAGGCCAAATAAACACAAATAACAGATGAGAAATCGAAAACTGGTTTAAAAGTCAGAGCTGAAAGCAGTTATTGGGAAAACAGGGGACTTGAGTTCAAATCCCCGTGTAAAAGCCAGGAGTGGCCATCAATTTGAGCGACACACACACACACACATACACACACACACACACACACACTTTTTAAAAACTATGTTTTTTGCACAGTCATCTTGTTAAGAGTTGAGACACATTAAAGACCAGGTAGAAAAATATGTCCCCTTTAAAAATGACCACCCCAGTCATGATTCATTCAAACTAAGCTTTAAGACCATGAGAGCTTTGCTTAAGAGGTTGGGACAAGGATGTCACTTGATACAGGCAAGTGTGCCCCCCACTAACTCTGCTACTGTTCACACATGGGCACAAGGAAGGGGGGATCATACAGCTGGCAAGGAGTCCATTACCCATGTCACTTGAGATGTCTTAATCCAGAAGAAGCAACCCACCCCCCCAAAAAATAGAAAAACATACAGTGAAACAGAGGCCCCAGACATAAGAGACCTAAAATGCTTTTTTAAAGGATATTTTTACCCCAAATTAAATTTTATAAAATCTTGCCACTTTGGTAACATTGTACTCAATATTTTTGAATAGTATGAACATTCTTTTTTTAAAATAGGTCTCACTGCATTACTATGAAGCCCAGCCTAGTCTTGAACTCATGATTTTCCTGCCTCAGCATCCTGCTAGTAGAGAATTCAAACATGAGCCACCACCAGCTTATAATTAGTACTTTCAAATATGCCTCAAAAGTTGTTTCTGTTTGAATTCTACAGTAGAAATTGTAAGTCCCATAATTCAAGAGTGTCAGACAAAAAAGAATAGTGTATCCCAAATATTTAGTGGAAATCTGCTCTGGGGGTACAGTAGGCAATGATGTTAACCCAGTGAAGCCAGTGTTTCAAACTAAGTGTATCACTTAGAAACATTGTTATTTTGTACTAAAGCACCTAAGTGTTTCATGACCAGCACATAATGCATGTGAAATAAACCTATAATACTCAGTCAATTATTTGAAGTTATGTAGCTGGCACTGTCTGCATTAACACTGACATCATGATTGATAGACACCCACTCATAATGAGAGTAATTTTAAAATATAAATGGATCAAGACACACTGGTATTCACTTAACACCCATTAAATTATTATTAGTGTGGCAAGGACTATGACTTCAACAGAATCCAAGAAAAAAAAAGTGAAATAACTTTAATTGTAATAATAATAATTTTATTATTAGTATTTTAAAAACACCATGTCATTCTGTAGTCCAGGCCAGGGCAGAACTTCCAGGTAGTCCAAGCTGGCAGCAAACTTTTGGAAATTCTCACACATTCGGCCCCTGAATGTTTGGTCCCATCTGTTTCATAAAAATAATCAAATGACTAAGTTTCAAATGATTTGTTAATATCCAAGGCTTCCATGTTAAAGATGGCAAGAGGAGTTCAGACCACAAGAACCCCTGACAAGGAAATGAAAATCCACTGGGGGAAACCTAACTGGAGTTAGCTGGGGTCGGTGGACTCACGGCGAACTATGTACAGATGCTTACATGAAACCACACATTTGTCTTTCCAAGTGACTGGGGGACCTAGGAAGCATGGACAGGCGCTGATGCATTCCCTGAGGTCTGCCGCGCTGGTGTGATGGCGGTGAAGGTGAGCAAGCGTGCTTTCTCCTGAGCATGTTGTTCCCATTGCAAGTATGAAAAAGAAGTGTCCTACAGGCCGGGGAAATGGAAGGCAGGCTCCAGAGCACTGCCGGAACATTCTCTAAGAGAGAACCCCGGAACTTAACACCACCAGATACAAGTTATTCCTCGGTGTAACCTCTTCCCAGCTGCCACCTCAGGCAAGCATCCCGAGTATTCCTTTTCTTGGAGGACAGCCTCCCTTTCCTTGTTTTGGGCAGAATGGTTAAACATCATCTGCTTTACCCTGAAATGGCCACAGGTAAGGATGGGCATTTAGTGTGTGATAGCTGTTCCTAACGTGCCGGTGCAAGTTTTCATACTTAACACAATTTGACGGGTTATTTTGAGAGAGAAATTATTTAGCATGATAGCCATGCTAAATCCAGGGACTACTGGTGTCAGACAATTAACTGACCCTGACACACAGGCACGCGCTGTTGACTTCGGTTTTCAATCTTCCCCAAAGTTGGAAGATGTCTCTTTACAAAAAAAAAAAAAAAAAAAAAAAAAAAAAAAAT